ACATACATATAGCATATACCTTTTCGTTTTTTGTGCCTGGTAAAGATACGAAAGAGACAGCTGAAGCCGTAAGAGGATTGTTGGCCGGGCTATAAATTTAAGCCGACACCTGTAAGAGATGCTATTTTCAACTTTGTAAAAATACCTCCGTTGAATGGTTCTGCATTCCGGAAATATACGAATTTAGAGAAAGAAATGTCAATATAGACACACACATACACACATACATACACACATACATGCACACTTACATACACACATACATACACACATACATACACACATACATACACACATACATACACACATACATACACACATACATACACACATACATACACACATACATACACACATACATACACACATACATACACACATACATACACACATACATACACACATACATACACACATACATACATACACACATACATACACACATACATACACACATACATACACACATACCCATACACATACCCATACCCATACCCATACCCATACCCATACCCATACCCATACTCATACCCATACTCATACCCATACTCATACTCATACACATACACATACACACACTCACACTCACACTCACACTCACACTCACACTCGCACTCACACACACACACACACACACACACACACACACACACACACACACACACATATATATATATGAATATTGTGCCGCTCACCCCATCTTCCGATTCCAGATACGCCCGAGGAAATGTAGGTCTTAATCACATCCAGTAATTACGGTTATGAAAGGGAGTTGATCCCTTGGGCGAATCCCGTTTTTCATTTAGTATTATTCTTATAGAGATTAATCATTTGATACCAAACAAAACCAACATTTCTCTTTCTTTCTGTCTTTCTTTCATATTTTCTTTCTTTTTGAGATTATTTGTTTCTTATTTTCTTTTTTTATTTTCATTCTTATTTTCTTTCCTTCTTACTCTTTATTTTCTTACTTTCTTCTTTTCCTTCTTATTTTTTTCCTTCTTTTTTTATTTTCTTACTTTCTTCTTCCTTATTTTCTTTCGTTCTTATTTTCCCGACAAATGCAGTATCCCGCCGCCGGTTCCTGGGCGTAGATGTATCAAAGAATAAACGTGCACAAAACGAGAAAGCAAATATTTATTTGTTTATTTGGTGATTAATTGTTTACCTAAGTGTTTGCAGTGTGGATTTCCCGGGGATCGCAGCCACGTCGTTATCTCGCTAGGCTTTAATCCGTTTGTGTGTGGATTTGTCTCGTTCGTATGAAAGCGGGTAGTAAATATAAAAGTGAGAGAGACGAAGAGCACACAAACAGACACACCGACAAACACACACACACACACACACACACACACACACACACACACACACACACACACACACACACACACACACACACACACACACACACACACACACACACACACACACACACACACACACACACACGTGCGCGCGCGCGCAGACAGACAATGGCAAAGAAAGAAAGAAAGAAAGAGACAGACAGAGAAAGAGTATGTGAGTGAGTTAGTGAGAGAGAGAGTGAAAGTGATAGTGAGAGAAGAGAAAGAGAGGGAGACCACGATCAAGAAGAGAGAAGTGGTCGGATGAAAATGCAAGAATATTGGTCCTTCCGATAAATAATTAGGTGGTAATAACCTCATTTCCGTATCTCAAAGACACTCGGCCTCCGTTGCCACGATTTTTATGAATTTCTTCCTGGTGTTTCTTACTTTGATGTGTCAGATGCTTTGATTGCTTTTTTTATGGTGATGATGATAATGATAATAAAGTACATCACCTTTACCATCGCCATCATCATCATCACCATCACCGTCACCATCAATAATCATTAAACTATCCTAAATCATCACCATCCCTTTTTTTCACCATATTATCCTCCGGATCTTTTGCATCTTGATTCATATTCTCAAGGGATAAGGGAGGGGCGGAGATAAATCAAAAGTTGGCATGTGTTAAACGACGGCCTCAGTGGCTTCTCGGTAATAGAGATTTAGGAGGATGGGAGGGTGAGAAGGAGAGGGGAAGGGGGAGGAAAAAGAAGGGAAAGGAAAGGGAGGAAGTGATCTGGAAGGTTGGGGGAGGGAAAGGGAAAGGGGAGAGAGTCGGAGAGGAATGAGGGAAGGGGAGAAGAAGTGGTGTGGGAAGAGAAGGGGAGAAGGAGAGAGTAAAAAAAGAATAGAAAGAGAAGTGTGTAAGGCAGATACATGGACGAACGGAGCAGATAAATTACCGAAGTAAAAAAATAAAAAAGAAAAACAGATAGTCCGAACTCCCTTCTCCTCTCCCCTTTTCTTCTCTTCCCTTCTCTTCCCTTCCCTTCCCTTCCCATCCCATCCCATCCCATCCCTTCCCTTCCCATCCCTTCCCTTCCCCTCCCTTCCCCTCCCTTCTCCTCCCCTCCTCCCCTCTTGTATCCCCTCCCCGCATTCTACCTTCCCCACACCCTCCCCTTTCTTCCTCTTCCTCTCCCTCTAAAACGCAGCTGTCCGCACCTCGTCCTTCAATTCTCGAATCGCCTGGTGTACCCTCCCCTCCCCTCCCCCCCCCCCCTCCTCCCCTCCCCTCCCCTCCCCCCTCCTCTCCTCTCATCTCCTCCCCTCCCCTCTCCCCCTTCCGTCTTTAAAACGCAACCGTCTGCATCTCGTCCTCCAAGCCTTGAGTCGCAGCCATCCCCTTGCCATCCTATATACTTGGCCGTTACGCCCTCGTGTACCCGATAACGAGGGATGATGGATGCGCGGGCGGCGGACGCGGGGCGAAAAATGCGTTAATGGCGCGCTCGCAAGAAAGGCGGAAAGTAGTATTGGAAATTTCGGACATGTTTATTGGGGGTGTTCGTTTCGCTACGTTAGTGTGTCTCTCAGTCTTTTTCTCCTTTTTTTTTTTACCTCCGGAGTGGAATGTCTGTTCGTGTGCTGGGGAATAACTTTTTCTGTTTATTATTAGCGTTTGTTTTGTTTTTTGTTGTTAGCGTTGTTGGTATTATCAGTGCGGTAATATGTCGCTTTTTTGTTATTGCTATTTTTTTATTACCGTCCTTTGATCACCATGGATTAGTGTTTTTTTTTTTTTTTTTTAGGGGGGGGGTAATGATGGGAACTGGTGTGATTTTGTGGATATTTTTTCAATTATATCTTTATCGTCACTACAATTATTTTTAAACTCTTCTGCCAAAAGAAGAAAGGAATAAACATCCCAAAAGGGAATAAATGCATTACAGCTGCCTGTCTAGTTCAATGCCGGAAGGTTAGAGCTGCATCGACATCGCTGCCAATGTTATTATCTCATTAGTCACGACTCCCAACATTGGTCCCCGGCCAGGCTCATCCATCCTCCAGACCTGTCGCCTCCGGACTCGTGTTTTCTCCGTCCGCTCAGCGTCGCTTGGGAATGTCCGGTGCGAAAGCATTTGTGTCGAGACTCGTGCGGGCTCGTGCTCCTCACACTTTTACTTGCATTTGTTGACTTAAATGCACGTTACGCTTTTTTCGCGTTGGCTTGCACTCCACAGGAATCACAAATGCTATTTTTGTTTTGTTTAGCAGCTGACAGTTTTTTCCTTCGGTGTAGCCAGGTCTACAGTTATGTTATGTTATACAGCGAAAATCCTGTATAATCCTGATAATTGTTATATTATACAACAAACTGATGGCCTGATGAAGGTCACTGAGACTCGTGGCATGTGACTCCATAACCGTGGCATCCCGCACCCCTGCATGTCGCCCTTACTGTGTCGTCCGCGAGAGATGGATCTCGATTGCTTTATCTTGTCAGGGCTAGACGTCACCTTTGCGTCGTCATGCCTGGCAGCGCTGTCATGGCTGGCACTGGCGGCTGCATTTTTGGGGAAACAATGCGGCGATGGTCTCTTAGTGTAAGTGCTTCGCGTTGGTCATTAATTAAGATAGCTGGGCAGGTAGAAGGCTGGGATTAGAAGAAACAAGGGGAAGGAGAAGAAGAAGTAGGAGGCGGAGAAAGAGGAGACGAAAAGGGCAAGGTGAAGTGAATCTGTCTGGGAGAAGGCAAAGGATGCTTGTGCTGATGGGAGGCAGACCACAGGGTTTGTTTTGGTTCTGGCGCGGGGCGGAGAGGGAGGGCGGCGGCCGAGGGCGAGCCGGACCTCACGCACGCTGGCCCCGGACGCGCGCGGAGGAGGGGAGGGTGGGGTAGAAATCAAGGAAGGGAAAATAAGACAGAGGGGGAGAAGGAGAGGAGGGAGGACATACGTACCTGACAGCCCTCGGCCAAGCGCTCGTGTGGAAATTTATTTATGGACGTGGTAACCTCGCTATAGCGTACATTGGCCGGCATTTTAAGATTTAAGTAATTTTTGCTTCAAAGAGAAGATACGGGAAGGAGATTGCTCGTTGCCCAAAATGATTTTGACTTCATGATACGTAATCAGATCTTGTGAAAAACTGTTCTTCCTCAGGTATGCAGTCCTTATTCGGAGCACTTGGCAGAGCATGGCAGCGATGGGCATTAGTTATTTTTAAGAGGTCTAGTGTTTATGTGGACGCGGGATAAACGACGTGTAAACGGCAGCATCAGGGTTTTGTTAGCGATTACTGGCGGCAAGTTTGTGTTAGAGCAGGAAACGCTTAGATTTTACGAAGATTATTAATTATGGTTAAAAGGGAAATGTCTGTCGGATCCCCTTTCGTTTCTTATGCACGGGGATCGAATGCAGGGAGATCTTATTTTCGAAAGCTTTGTTTTGCAGCCCTTAATGAGCAAGATCAAGGTGCTTGTGTTACACTAGACTTTTATCACTGCTCTTTCTGTGAAACACGTGAGCTGAAGCTGCGCTGAGGTAGTGACGATACTCGTATAGGAGGAATCAGTTTTGTTCGACCAGGAACCCCAGCTGGAGTACCATGCTCAGGAGGCTGTCCTCGACCGACCAGGCTTCGGCCTCTGCTGCAGACACCACCAGCAGCCTCAGTCTGTACTCCTATGCTCGCTTTCGCCCCCAGAACCGCATGAACACGATTGAGTCCCGACTGAAGGCGCTGCAGGGGCAGCTGTACGAGAGCTCCGCCTCTGCCACGCCGCCTTCGCCCACCTCCCCGGCCTTCTCGCGCATCACGCCCGAGAAGGCCGACCAGGAGAAGGTGGTCGGGGAGAAGGATGCCAGGACGGCGTCCGAAGAGGGGGAGGTGCTGGAGAAGGCGGCGGCGGCGGCCGTCGCGGCAAGCAAAACGACCCCCGAGGTAGTGACGACCACTTCGACGAAGACGACCGCAACGAAAGGCAAGGTCGAGAAGACGGAGGCCTTGTCGGTGACTTCAGGCACAACTGTGACCTCAAGTGTGACTTCCGTCATACAGAATGTCATCAAGTTTGAGGGTAAGTAAAGTGTGATTAATGTAATTTATGACATACTGTATAATTAACTGCATTAGTCAGAATGCTGCTAATTATATTTTTAATTAGATTACACGTTATAGTAGTCAGGATTGCAATATTTCGTAAAATGAAAATGAGTAGGTAATTGATATTGTTGCATATGACAATTATCAGATGAATTATATAATTGTGTTGGTAATATTGTGTCTAACTCTTCGCCATACCATATGGAAAGCATCATGGCAATACATCCTGTAATAACGGAATAAATTTTTCGTTTAACATCAGTTGTTTAGAACTTCACCTAACTGCTTATGTAAAGGAAAAAAATAGATATTTTAATAGCCTTGGGGCTCCTCATTAGCGAATTCTGCGATTGTTGGAACGATGCTTGGCACACGTTCGGGTATGCGGGTTTTATGATTCATATATATATTAAATCAGTTTCACAGTAGTTGCTCATTTTGTGATGTTTTCTGTTGGAACAGAGAGTGTGTTTGGCGCTGAGGGGGCGTTGCGCCCGCCCTCCCCTCTCGTGTGCCCGCCGAAACACGCTCCTGACTCGTCCCCGGTGCTCATCCTCGCCTCCCTGGACAAGAGCATCCTTCAG